CCGTTGCCGGACACGGAAAAAGAAAAAAAAAAAAAAAAAAAATGCATTTGATTCTTTAAATAGAAACAAAATTAAGCTCAGATTAGCTGATTTTAAAACTAATCTATGAATATTAACAATACTTATATAGTTACATTAAAATCCGTGAGTCAGAATGAAATTAAATATGTAAGATGAACTTCTGGGGTACTTTTATACCATTTTAGAATAACATTAAGTGATTTACAAACAACATATCCTTTTGGTGTTGAAGAAAAATAAATCTAAAAAATACTGTCAATTATTCAAAAAACATTTATTTAAAAAAAAAACACAAAAGTAACTATTATTTTACCCAGACTTCCCATATTCTCTTTTTCAATATCACAATCACTCTCTGCCCTGCAAATGATATCGCCACCCTCCAGAGTTCAAGAAGACTAAGAAAATAAAATCCTTTAAGTGGATTACATTTGCTTCCTATTCTAGATTGTTTTTACGTGAATTAACTCATATTAATGAAACATTTACAGCCAACTATATAACTACTGAGATTTGTTCAACCTGCTCTGGTATTTTAATGTGATAAATATCCTAATTTATCTATTTACACAAATTTGCAACTGTAGTTTTCGTTTTCTTTAAATATTCCAATTTACTACCCAAATCAGTCTTCTTTATTTTTTTTATCAAAACATCATCCAGAAATTTCAAACAGGTTCTATATTTCCTCACTCAACTTAAGCTATCACACCTTTTTTCTTGTGCTATTAGTGTCCTGTTTAATTACGCTCCTAGAATAAAATCAGTTACAATACATATTCCAAAATATCACCCTAAACTGTTCTACTTATCTTTTTTCCTCAGAAAGAAAATTTACCTCTGCCACTATACTTCTAGCTTCATACTGGAAAACTCTCCAAACTCTCATAAAAAGACATGCATTATCTACTGTAAATCAGGTACCACTCCACACTATAGTTATGAAGTCTATATAAAGTGTTTGGCTACCTCTTTTAATAGAATGATTTGATTACCACTTCGCCTGGGGTTTGCTGGCACTGAACAATTACAAACCACTACTGAAAGAAATTAAAGAAGACAAAGGAATATGGAAAGACATTCCATGTTCTTGGATTGGAATAACTAACATTGTGAAAATGTCCATACTACCCAAAATGATCTATACATTCAATGTGATCCCCATCAAAATACCAATGATATTCTTCACAGAAATGGAAAAAACAACCTCAACATTCATATGGAACAACAAAATACCCCAAATAGTGAAAGCAATCTTTAGCAAAAAAAAATAAAGCCAGAGGCATAACACTACCTGACTTCAAATTTTACTACAAAGCTATAGTAACCAAAACAGCATGGTACTGGAATAAAAATAGATACTTGGACCAGTGGAGCAAAATAGGGAACCCAGAAATCACCGCTCAGGATTATAGCCATCTGTTACTTCACAAAGGCAACAAAAACACACTGGGGAAAAGACTGCCTCTTCAGTAATTGATGCTGGGAAAATTGGATATCCATATGCAGAAGAATGAAACTAGATCTGCACCTCTCACCATATACTAAAATCAAGTCAAAATGGATTAAAGACTTCAATATAAAACTACTAAGGGAAAATATAAGAGAAACACTTCAGGAACTAGGTCTGGGCACAGACTTTATGAACAAGAGCCCAAAAGCACAAGCAAAAAAAGAAAAAGTAAACAAATGGGACCACTTCAACTAAAAAACTTCTGCATAGCAAAGGAAACAACAGAGTGAAACAACAACCTACAGATTGGGAGAAAATTTTTGCAAACTATACATCTGACAAGGTATTAATATCCAGAATATACAAGGAACTCAAGCAGTTACACAGTAAAAAAACAAATAACCCAATTAAAAAATGGGTAAAGGAGCTGAATAGATATTTTTTCAAAGGAAGACATACAAATGGCCACCAGGTACATGAAAAAATGCTCAACATCACTAACCATCAGGGAAAATGCAAATTAAAACCACACTGAGATGCCATCTCACCCGAGTTAGACTTGCTATAATCAAAAAGATGGAGAATAACAAATGCTGGTGAGGATGTAGAGAGAAGGGACTGCTTCTACATTTTGGGTGGGATTGAAAATTAGTGCAGCCACTATGGAAAACAGTATGGTATTTTCTCAAACAACTACAAATAGATCTACCATACTATCCAGCAATCCCACTTCTGGGTATGTACCCAAAGCAATGGAAATCATCACGTCCAAGTGATACCTGCACTCCCATGTTCAATGCAGCTCTATTTACAATAGCCAAGATATGGAACCAACCTAAGTGTGCATTGATGGATGACTGGATAAGGAAAATGTGGTATATATACACAATAGAATACTACTCTGCCAGAAAAAAATAATGAAATTCTGACATTTGCAACAACATTGTCGAGTTTGGAGAAACTTATGTTGAGTGAAATAAGCAAAGCACAGAGGGAAAAATACCACATGTCCTCACTCATAAGTGTAAGCTAAAAGAGAAAGAAGGAAGGAAAGAAAGACCACAGTGGTGTGTTGGACTTGCAGAGGGAGAGAGCATAACTAGGGATAAAAAGTGGAATGGGGGAAAGGGGGATGGGGAGGGAGGTCAGGGATTAACTGGGTGGGGGACACAGGGTCTAAACCCAATTTGTGGTAATGGGCATGCTGCCAGTATGGATCTGGCCATCACATCTTAGGCACGAGTGGTGATGGTCAGCTTTGTACCCCATGAATATTAATAACCAATAAAATAAATAAATAAATAAATATTCAGAGAAATTCTTAATCAGTTACAGAATGAGAATAACATCCAGTTGAGTATTTGCACTCCCAGAAGAAAATAATAATTTTATCATTATGGAGCTATAATTTTGTGCATTCATGACATGAGACTCTGTTATACCTCAAAGAGTTATAATGTAGAACTCTGTTATATCTATTTAAATTCTCGAAACAGAGATGTTTCACTGGTTTCCAAGCTATACTAAATAGAATTAAAAAGAGGTTCTTCAGTAGATTATTCATCTAGCAATAGTAATGTTGAAGCTGACAAAATGAGAAAGTTATAAATAATGAACATTTTATGAGATTTCTACCTGTTTCCACATTCTCGGTCTCAACTTCTTGTTCTTCTGCCACATCTTGCATCATATAAGTCTCATCATCATAAACCAGAACCTGGGCTGCATAGCCCTGCTCTAATCTGGCACTTGGAACTGGCTCCACAATCACTGCTGGATATTCAGAAACCTTTTCACTTTCCTACAAGAGCAAATTTAAAAAACAATCAACCTTTTTATTCACAAATTCTGAATTCACTTATAAATCCTTGAGTTCATAACAGTCTCAAGCAGTCCACACAATGAGTTTCATGTGCTATAAATATGAATGTAAAAACCAAAACAAGAGATGGAAAGAGCTAACTTTAATCTTTTCAAGTCTCAAGAGGTGTGACATAGATTAAACATTTTAAATAATCAGGGCTTTAGGATCAAGATGATAGATTAAAAACATGCATATAATTTCACTGTCTCATGAAAGCCCATTAAAACAGCACAAAAGACTTTATCTTATACCTAACCCCACAAGGAGAAGAGATAAAAGCAACAAGCAAGAAGAGATAAGAGCAAGAAAATCCTGAAGACTGAAAGCAGATGGATGAGTATTAAGTGGTTTAGCAGACCCAAATCATAGCCTGGCAGCAAAAAAAAAAAAAAAAGCACACAACAAAACAAACAAACAAAAAAAACTGAGAAACACCACACTGTACAATGGTGAAAAATCGCTATAATGGAGAATCGACAGAAAGCAACACCAATTACTTCTGGAAAAGGAGAAGCAGCAGGTGGTAGGAAAAGAGGAGGGGGTTAAAACAAGGAAGATTCCATGAAAGCTGTTTGTTTGGAAAGCACTTTGATTCCTAGGCCCTCTCCCTCCTCCATGGATGCTAGGCAAGCGGCCCTCCTCCACATCAGCAGAAGACTGCAGTTTCTTTCTGGAGAGGGAAAAACAAGAGCGTCTTCGAGATATAACAGGTACATTTGCTAGTATCATACTGTACCAAAAACAGAGTTTCCAATCAGCTTTTTAGTCTCCCACTTTCATCATAAGCAGAAAGCCAAATATTACTAGACACCCAAGGAAAAGCCTCTAACACAGTATACATATATATATATACATATACACACATATACAAACTCATATTCCTCACAGAGATAAGAAGATATTATATCCATAAAACAAAAACAGAATACAATTTAGTACAGAACATTTAAAAGTAAAAGATACGGGCTAGCTGGTTAGCTCAGTTGGTTAGAGCACTGCCTTGTAACACACCAAGGTCAAGGGTTCAGATCCCCTGTATGGGCCAGCCACCAAAAAATAAAAAATAAAAGATACAGAGTTCTTAAAAATTACAAACACACAATAGCTGAAATGAAAAAATAGAGGCTTGGAAGATAAAATTGAGGCAATCCCTAGGAACCAGAGGAAAAATAAAGAAAGAAAGCAACAGAAAATAGGAGAGAAAAGATAGCAATATTAGAGGACCAGTCCAACAGGTCCAATATCTGGAACAGGAATTCCAGAAAAAGAAAACAGAAAAAAAAAAAAAAGAAAAGAAAAAGGAAAAAAAGAAGACTTGGAAAGAAATCAAAGAAATAAATCAAGAAAATTTTCTAGAGCTGCCCATTTGAAAGGACCCACCAAGTATCTAGTACTAAAAATTAAGGGACACCTAAACTGAGATACATCATTGTGAAATATCATAACACTAGGGACAAAAAGAGGAGTCTATAAGCTTTTAGAAAGAAAATACAGGTTACATACAAAGAACCAGGACACAGACTTCAGTCTTCTCAACAATCACACTGGAAGGAAGATGACAATGGAGCAATTTCTTCAAAATCATGAAATAAAATTATTTTCAACCCAGAATTCACCCATTCACACCATCTTATGAAAGTAGAATAAAGACATTTTCTCAGACATGAAAGATCTCAAAACATTTAACTTCTACGCACTTTCTCAAGAAACAACTGGCAAGTACAACCCATCAAAAAAAGACAGTAAACTTTAAAAAAAGGAAGACAACTTAGGATACAGTACATAGGAGATCCAACACAGGAGAGAAACAATAGGAATCTTCAGGAAGACTGTGAAGAGAGATTCCAAGATGCAGCTGTGCAACAGATTTAAAAGGCAAACCATCTAGATTGTAGCAGCAATATGACTCCTGAGATAGCATGGTGAGCTGTAATCACCAAGATAACTACTGACATTGTTCGTAAGGACAGAATGCCCAGGTAAGTCTGTTCCAGATTTTTATCCATATTTGGCTTACCCTGATGTACCTATCCATTCCACCTTGCCCTGCTGCCTGAATCATGTGAGAACACCCATTTCACCCCCCACATGTGTTCTGCTTTGATCTACTCCTAAGTATTGGAGGAAGACCACCATGAGCTTAGAAACAAAAAATACAGAACAGCACTCCCTCCAAGTGACCATATACCACGGAATGAATACGCAATACCTGGCCCATACTGTAGCACTGCCAGATACCTAACGAGGATGTGCCTTATGTACCCAAAAACTAACTCATAACATTGCTCACTAATTACCTGAACAGAAGCTCCTGAAACTTAGTGAAGCCAATACTAGACTATTCAGCTGTCTTCTCCTGGAAGCCTTCATCTAACTGTGATAATACAGCCCTTTCTTAACTCAGCTTGATACACTATCCATTTTCCAAAATAAATAATACATTGTTTAGGAATATTTCCATAGATGATAAAACTACAAAGAAAAGTAAAGGGATGATAATACGTAAGTCAGGATAGGATAATGGCTCCACTGAGGACAGAGTTGGGGATATACTGGCCAGCTGCCAAAAAATAAAACAGGAATATTTCCATAGATGATAAAACTACAAAGAAAAGTAAAGGGATGATAATACGTAAGTCAGGATAATGGCTCCACTGAGGACAGAGTTGGGGATATACTGGCCAGCTGCCAAAAAATAAAATAATAATTTAAATAAACTACAAAACAAAACCAGAGAAAACAATTTTAAATAGAATGTACATATACTTTGTATAAGGCAAAAAAAAGGTGAGTCCAACTTTTTAACATTAAAAAAAACTTTTTTCCAACAAATTGGATATACTGACAGTTGAATCTTCCATGCTTCTTGCTCAGCTTTATAACCATAGCCTACAAGCAGCACCATTAATACAGCTGTTAATGAGAAGTGTGCAATGGGTAAAGACTAATAAACTCTCCACTCATTAGAAACTCAGAGAGCAACATTAGAAGTAGCATTTGAACTAGGTGACCCAAGCAATGAATATTTTATTTATATATAATCCAAGGGACTTAAATTTCTTTCCTTTCTCTGAAATCTGGTAGTATTTTTAATAGCAAAATTAATCTGATTGTTTTATACTGTGAACTCCCCCACTCCACTCTACCAGTAGGAAATAAATCAAATTTTCTAAACCACATAATACTGAGGACTGGAATTCTGTACAAGGATAATCCCTCTACCTATACTCTCTTCCCCAACAATTGGGATTCTGGCCCCATTTTTCTTTCTTATATCTTAGTTGGATTTTGTCTTAATATTTCAATGGTTCCTTCCCTTTGACTATAAAAAAGCTAAAATCTTTTGAATTTTTTTTAAAAAATCAACCTTCTTTCTTTTAACTGAACTTTAACTGATATTTACTTTTTATACCTGTATATACTTCTCAAAAATATAGTCTAACTCCCCGCCCTAACTCATCTACATATACCTTGTAATCTGGATTCCACCACCTCACTGAAAGCACTCTCTCAAAATGTCAATATTGACAAAATTCTACTTCAGTTTCCATTCCTCACTGCCTCTCTGCAGGCTCTTATATATTGACCATCACCTCATTTCTAAAATTCTTTCTTCCACCATTCTCTTTTTACCACTCTTTTAAGCATCTCCTCTGTCTCTTCTTTCATCTCCAGTGACTCAAATCTAGCCAACTTACTAAGGTTCTGTCCTCAGTATCTCCTTTCTTTTTTTTCTATTCTACCTTCTCAGGCAAGCCCAACCATTCTAATGGTTTCAAACAGCATCTCTATGCTGATGATTACTAAGTACTTGTCCTCTACTCTAACCCATCCTCTTAACTTCAGAACCAAATTTTAAACTACTGACAATATCACTACAGGAATATTCAGCCAATACTTCAAGCTTAACATGTCTAAACGAAACAAATTATCAACATCTTTCCCTTGGTCCCCCCCCACCCCACCCCATGTTCTTCTGTATATCTCAGTTTCTTTGTATTTAAAAAAGATTATAATAATGTTCATACCTCAAGAAGTCCCTTGAAAATTAAATATGCACAAAAGTACTTAGCACAGTGTCTAGCACAGAGTAAATATTCAACTAGTTATAGCTATTATTATACTGTAACAATAGTAATAGTCTTCAAATATTTCTTCTAATATTTGCCCTCCACTTTATTTATTTATTTTTTTTGTCTTTTTCCGTGTCCGGCAACGGATCGCAACCCTCAGTGTTGCCCCCATACCGGACCGGGGACTGGCAACGGGATCGCAACCCTCA